ATTCCGTGCCTGTCTATGGGAGAGAGCTTGCATCCGTGACTGTTCATTCTCTCCCACACATCTCTTTGCGGGTTCAACAATCCCTCGGATGTGCATCGACATCCGACAAACGTCCTGCTGGTGTTATTCTGAGATCTATGCGTGACTGTTCATTCTCTCCCATACATACCTTTGCGGGTTCAACGCTCCCTCGGATGTGCATCGACATCCGACAAATGTCCTGCTGAGATCTATGTCATACCCAGTTAAAAATCTGATGGGAGTTTGCCACTGCTATTGCCTGAAAAAGGGTGACAGACAAAGACACAGAGGTCCAGCGGAGAAAGGACCAGATTGGGATCCATGGGTATCCATCGCTGGAAGGGGCTTACAGCAATGACCACAGGAGAAAGGGACGTCTCAAGTGCAACTGGTTATGCTGGGTTCGCTGAGTGACTGCCCTGCTGGGTGCCCTGGGCAATCGCTGTGCTGTGTCGACCGGGCGGTTGCTCTGCTGTATCCACTGGGCGATTGAATCAGTGTTATAGTTGGACCATATGGTTTGCAAATCACATCAACAGTTGCGTTGCAGTGTGAATCATATGATTGACAACGTACACAGCCTACGCTTACGATTGACTTGGTTCGTCTATATGTGTTTTACCCATTACCCGCTACCCCTTACCCATCAATAGTTTAGGTGTTGCCGTGTGAATCATTTCCGCGGCAACATACATATCCGTGGCAGCGTATGCAGTGTATGCTGATTGACTTATCTGAGATTTTAACTCATTACCAGCCATCCTTAAATCCCTGACTTGCACACCATGTTCATTGCCCTGACCCCGAATGATAAAAGTATACAAAACTGTCACATTCCAGAATCCTGGCACAAACGAAATACAATATTATTGGAGCGAGTACCCTTGTTCTATCACGCACCTGAAACTTATTCATCTTGAAGCCTCGTGACAATCCGTTTGAGAACCCGTATACGTTTGAGAAGCCGTATCAGAAGGAATTCTCAGTCTTCAATGACAGCTGCACAGGAAATGAAACATCAACGTCTAATCAGCCACCTCTGCGCGACAGGAGAAAATGAAAACGAAGTTCAGTTCTTGCAGTTCCGGTCAGGATTCTGTCATTAAAGAGAATACAAGCAATTTGGCAAGCTATGCCTTCCAGTTATAACAAAGCATCACTGCCCCCCCCCCATCTGTCAATCGCTCAGCACAAGATACCACCGCTAGGCAAAAAGTTCAGAAACTATATTTTTTCTTTTTAAGGGTGGCAGTCTTGAGATGTATCCGAGGGTGGAAGACACTCCAGTGTTTGTTTGGTGAGCTGGTACTCAGGCGATGATGGCCGGAGCTGGGTTGGGTCGCTTTGCCCTGTAGCCTGGCAGGTGGTGGATCTTCTAGAGTGGGCCGCACCACTCTGTAACCTAGAGGGTGGGGGTGTGCGGTCAAGTACAGACTGAGTAAAGAGTATATGAGGGTCAAGATATGCCTAGGGTTGGGTTGCTGAAAGGCATCAAAGGAGTTGGTTTTTGGGCTGACAGCTCTCATGGAATTATGGCTTGAGGTACCTATAGCCTTTTTGATTCCTGGTTTTGCATAAGTTGGTCTTGGAATAGGTTGGCAGATTCATGGTTTTTCCTAAATTTTCTGGAAAAAAAAAAACAGTGTCAGCAATCTGAAATCAGGACTGCAGTGATGCTTAGCGGTTCGTTTGCAGCTGTGCTACACTCTTAGGCTTTCGAATGGCCGAGCTGGAATGATGCTGGTCCAAGCTGCGGGTTTGGTCAGACTGCCCTGTCACTCGAGCATGACGAGGGCTCTGGAGGCCTGGTGAGAAGCGGTTAATGGATGCCAAATTTTCACCGAAACTGCCATATTTCCCTAAATTTTTACTTCTTTCTTGGTTGTTCTCTTTGCCTGATATGCATGTGCTTTAGGGTATATCTGTATTCAGTTTCGCCGTATTTGGACCAGTACCGAAAAACTTAGCAAAAACGCCAGACTCGAAGAAGATTCTGGCGAACTTCGAAAGCTACTCCGAGTAGGGTTTTATAGTGCTCTTGAGTTTTTTTTTTTTTTTTTTTTTTGCCTGTTTGGTTTTTTGATGTTTGTATTATGACCCTGCATAGTTTGTTCGCAAACATTTCACAAGATTGGTTGTAGCAATGCGGTGAAAAACGCCAAATTTTTGGCCTTCCATTAACCGCTAGTGGGCCTGGTAAGAGGTCTAGGGAAGCGCTGAGAGGGGAAGGCGGTTCTGTGGCGGTTTGGGCCTGTTATCAAGAAGGCAGTTCTGTGGCGGTTTGGGCCTGTTATCAAGACGATGTTGGTCAGAGCCAAGGTGGGTTGTTCCACCCTGTAGCCTAACAGATGGGAGTGTTCTGAGGCAGGTCATGCAGCCTCGTTTGGGGTGTGAGGCCTTGAAGAAGCTTAATAACGAGGATAAGAGGTTGTCATTTTAGTCTGGTTTTGGTTTTGCTGGCTCCTTCTCAGGGCCTTTCTGTGTCTTTTTTTTTTTTTTTTTTTTTTTTTTTAAAAAAAGCCCAGGTTGTTGTAGAGGTCAGACTCTGGACATATGACAGTCACCTTATCGGCCATGTGGCAATCACGATGATTCATATAGAGGCTCCTATTCCTATGAGACTCCCTCCCGACCTACCACACTCGTAATTCTTCCTGGCGCACCCCCACTTCCACAATCCTCAATGTCTACCACTCAGGAATGTCACCCTCTAGGGATAGGGGGTAACTTGACCGGACAGCGGTTGCAGGTACCAGGGCTAAGCAGAGTCCCATTTATCTCATGAGCTACGTGTTGACTGAGTGGGTTAGTAGTTATTATCCTTGAATTCTTTCTAATTAATTCTCAGCCGAAGCCAGGTAATGGCCCCGGTATTTCACATGTTTTGTATAATGTCATATAGTGCGCTGGCCCCCGTTCCCAGCAGATGCTGCTCCCCACGAATAGGTTGGGGCAATATTAGTTATAAAAAAAAAAAAAAGATATATCCACAGGTATTAGGGTCCCCAGCCCTGTTTTAGGGGCTGGCAGTGTGATCAAGCGAGCAAGTACGCCTTCTGGAACTTAATTGCTCCGATCCATTCGTGGGGAGCAGCACATGCTGGGAACAGGGCCCAGCGTCCCATATAAAATTGTACAAATGCTTTGAAATACCAGGGCCATTACCTGGCTTCGTCGCAAACTTAATAGTTTTGCACCCAAAAGTAGGGTAGGGTATGGATAGGAGGCAACTGTACTATAGTAGGTAAAACTAGGAGTCACTAAGGTAGGCAGTAGAATAGGAAGTACCTAAGGGTTGGTGTATAGGGTAAAACTAGGAGTAGCTAAGGTAGGTAGTAGAATAGGAAGTACCTAAGGGTTGGTGTACAGTAGTCTCAATGTACTTTACGGTAGGACGTAGGGTAGGCCAAGTACACAGCCAAGAGGTGGTTGGATCTGTAGCGAAAGGACCTGCAGGCGTTTTCACCTGTAAGCTAATCTGGATGGTGCTTCCAGTATAATTTAGTAATAGTAATGTTAAGGTCCCGGCCTTCTGATTACTGAGAGTAATGGAATTTGAAGTCTGAAGAGGGGGGGGGGGGGAAGGAAGAGGGAAGAGATATTCACAGGTGCCGGAGTCCTTTGGTAATTGAGATTATTATGGAAGTTCTTGTAGATTGTATGTCATGATCATAGCTTATTGAACTTCCTTATTTAGCTGATGTTGTAACAGGCATGTTGAGAGTTATTAACCCTCTGGAAGTAATGTGAAATTGAGGGTCTCAACCCTGATAGGCGTCGTAATCGAGCCATAAATGTCAGCTATGATGATACTGACTGAGAACTCAACCTGAGAGCTCTTTCTATTGGATGTAACCCGACCAGCCGCAGCAGGACTTGAGCTGGAGCATCGGGCCAAGCAAAACATTCAGAAACTACAGCAAAAGTTTGACAAAAGCAGAGCAAAGTGTCAAGATGGACACTCCACCAGACGTACCTGTCTCGTCACAAGCTGGCCCCACCCCTGAGTGGCACACAAGATATGCCCAACTATTTCACACTTCTGGTAGTATTGTATCCACATGGTTGGCACGGTGTATATCTGGACGTGTCAGGTTTCAGACAATCGCATACTCTTCCTTCCTGATCCTCCTTCACTTGGCCGGCGTCGACCTCACGCACTCACCGAGCCATCGACAGATAGCTAAATCCGGTCAGCACTTCATCCTCAGGCTGGCGCTGGGACTAACGAAATCTCACTTAAGCTCGTTCTTGTCCCGTGACCATACGATCCCCATGCGGAAGCTCCATGCTCGCCCGCCTGCCACGGGGTCTCAAGCGCGTCACCTAGGTGCCACGGCCACCAAACCGGCGCGCTCTAGAAGATCCTCTCCCCCGCATATCCCCTTGCCCAGTACTGGGCTTGTCAGTCGTGGAGATTGGCGTCGCGCGAAGCTCTCGCGGTAAGGTGGTCGTTCAGTGCATTTTCGAAAACATATTCAGTGTTGTGACTCGAAAACATATTCAGTGTTGTGACCATGCAAGTGTCCATTGAGTCACTCTTCTTTTTTTCTAAAATAAACATGAAAAAAAAAAAAAAAAGTGTCCATTGAGGGGCGGCTCAGGGCCAACAAGACACGACGCCGTAAACCCACACATAAACCGTGGAGATAGGGCTCAGGCCCAAGAACACACGGCTCCAAGAAAACCTTATCTCGTTTGAGACGTTGCCCCCTGCATCATGGTAACCCTTTTCCCTTCCCCATACCTTCTACCGCCCGTCTGCTTCGTTCCCGATTGGTCCTATCCCTTCCCCATCCTCAGTTGGATCGTTCTGAATGTTGCATTCACGGACTGCTACTGCCAGGTATCGGCAATAATTGCAGACTCTGGCTTCTGCAGCTACAGTATATTTTTTTTCTGACCACTACAGTGGTCTTTCACAGTGGCAATCCTCCTCACATACTCGCCATATCTGATGATATTCATAAAAAGAACATAACACATTGAAAAACGATTTCCGTATAATCGATGGGATCTACGCATCGACCTTTAGCATACTGGTAGTTTGTCATTGACAGACAAGTTGGTGATATTGACTAACCCTCTTATTAGATCTCTTTGCACAGCTTTTGAACCTCCAACAACCCATCCCACACTCACTCGGGTTTCAACAGCTGAACGCTGGCGGAGTTCAGATCGACCTTCGAATGCCCTTCACTATTGCCGGGGGCGCTTGCAAAAGGAACGTTTCAAGCTGCTAAAAGTTATGCTGATGGGGACACCATTACTGCTGTTTGCACCTCGTCAGATGCATTCAGAGTGGCTGTTGATCATAGTGAGCTGTGACGCAGTGCTCGCTGCTGTAGGTGTGGTCGGGCAGTCACTACACAACTCCTGAATAATCTGGGATTACCGTACTGAATCGATCTCACCCTGAGAATCGTCCATTCATTCCCACACTTGCCCTCATTCATCCACCACAGCCTGCCTCCCCTCGATGGTTCTCTATNGTACTGAATCGATCTCACCCTGAGAATCGTCCATTCATTCCCACACTTGCCCTCATTCATCCACCACAGCCTGCCTCCCCTCGATGGTTCTCTATCTTCCACTCTCTCTGTCGCTGGCTGCAAAAGGGTTCCATGCCAACTGTGGCTGCAGCCTTGTCTGCTGTA